GTAGTGTACAGCATCGATTTCTGTGGAACCCAGTAGCTGTCAAAACTTTCACATTTTTACGAATAACTCGGAAATCGTAAATTTTTCAGGTAAAACGGTTGAAACAAACATAAATTAAAATTGAACGGCTAATCTGAAAATCACAAAAAAAAGGGGGGGTTTCATTTAAAAAACCAGAGTTGGTAACTACCACACGTTTATGATGCACCCTGTATATTGGAAAGTAATTTTAGAATGTGGACCTTTTAAACGTGAAAAACTTTCGTTGGACGAATTTTCTTGTAAACTTCATATTTACTGAGATATCGCACTTTGACGCACTAATGAGCAACCCTGTATAGTACTGTATTATACAGGGTGGCTGTCTAAAACGAAACAGACCCAGTTTCGAACACCTATGCGAACTTATGAAAAACTCGGATGCGTAAACTTTAATTTCGAAGGGTTTTTTTTCGCATTTTTGGCGAATTAAACTGCTCCTATCTGCAACCCTTTAAGCAGAGAGCTGCCAGATAGGTACAATTTTGCACATGCAACAGAATATAAGCAATATTCCTGGGTTTCACTCATTTATTTATATAGCACAATTTAGTTAATTTTCTTAAAAACGTTTCGGTGTTTTTCCACCACCATCAGTTTGTTCGTGTGTAGGCCGTAGCTGCGTACACGAACAAAATGATGATGATGAGTTGCCTACACGACTCAAGAATATTGTTTATATTAAAATTGGAAATACAATCAGGAAAAATTTCATGATACATGCAATAGACACAAAAATTTATTTTTATGAGGGTTTGTTCATATATTTTTAGGTGCTCAAAAATAGGTCTGTTTGGTTCTCAAACGGCCACCTTGCATATACTTGAGGCTTAAGTCAACAAAAAATTATTTGAACCATCATTAACTAAGTAACATGTACCACCGATAAATTTTAACTTTTTGCTTTAACTTACGAACTAATAACTGATTTAAAAGTATGAAATCTAACAAAACGGCGTGTTTTCAGAAGCATTTTCTTCTGCTACTCTGGATTAAAAGTTCACTGACCTGCATTTCCATTACTTTCACTTTCGACATTCATCGTCAGCCCCTCCATTGATCCAGCCTTTGCCTATCAGCTCTTCATCCCGACTATTACTAAACAATAGTTCTTCGGCTTTTCCGCAACAACTTGAGCCGCTCAAAAGGGAGCGCACTTTCTTGGGCCACTGACAGGTTTTTCGGTTGTCGAACGACGGTAGGCTAATTTTCTACCATTTCCATGGTAATTGAAGATGGATCAATAGTCCATGTTGGACAAAGGTAGGATGTCGTATCGGCGTATTTGATAGTTTGCCTATGGGTAGTCGATATATTGTGACTATGGGTTTTGTCAGTTGCTTAGCACTGGAACAAATCAGAGGTGTTGACTGCAATTGCAATTAATGTATCATGTGTGTCCTTTTTCTTTTATCTTCTAACTTTTAGCTATTAGAGCTAAGCTATTAGAAATATGAGCGGTAACTTTCATTCCACGGGAAAACCAACTTACTAGCCGGCGGATAGGACGAAAATCCCAGATTTATTGGACTTTTTTATCTCCAGAAAAGTATCATCGAATTACATTGAAATTAATGACTGCTTTGACCTTGAATCAGAACATTCAGCAGTAGTCATGACTATGAGAGAGAAAATCATTAAAAGGGAAGCCAAGTCAACACTCACCAACAAAACAACGGATTGGAAGTGCTTCCAAGCTGACCTACAAGAGGAAATCACGTTGAACGTAAGATTGAAAACAGCCGAACAACTCGACATAGAAACCGAAAATTTTACGACACTGCTGCAAACAGTTGCTTACAAAAACACCAAAGAAATTACTCACATCACAAAAGGAGTAAACTATCCGGTTGAAATTCGGATTTTAATCAAAGAGAAAATAAAAGCAAGAAGACGATGGCAACAAACAGGTCATCCTAGCGAGAAGACATCATTAAATTGACAAACTCAAAAGCTAAAACGTGAAATTTACAAATTAAAACAGAATTCTCTAAATTCCTTTATTACAAATTTTTCAGCAGATAAAGAAACTGAATATTCCTTGTGGAAGGTTACAAAAAAAGTTAGAAAACCAGTTGTGTCAATACCTCCTATTAGAAAGGGACTAAGCGATTGGGCTCGAGATGATCAACAAAAAGCGGATCTATTTGCTGAATATCTGGCAGGCGTATTTGTACCAAACGACATACAATACAACCAACACAATAACCCCCCGGTTGCAGACAATATTTCGTCCTCCAATTCGATCGACATGATTGCTCCTGTTACTCCGAAAGAAGTAGAAGAAGAAATTAATAATAATCTCAGCCCAAAAAAGGCTCCTACTGTTGATTTAATTACAGGACAAATCCTGAAACAACTGCCAAAAAAGGGGATACTGATGTTAACACATCTATTTAACGCCTCAATCAGGATTAAACATGTACCGGCAATGTGGAAAATAGCGGAAGTCATCATGGTCCCCAAGCCTGGTAAACCTCAACACGATGTTAAGTCGTATATACCAATTTCCCACTTGCCAATAATATCGAAGCCTTTTGAAAAACTGTTGCTGAAAAGACTTATACAAATATTAGAGAAACAAAAGTTAATCCCCGATCACCAATTTGGATTCCGATCAAACCACTCTACAATTGATCACTAGAAGAAAAGAAAGTCTGTTCAGCACTATTCCTCGACGTATCGCAGGCGTTCGACAAAGTATGCCATGAAAGGCTGGTCTACAAACTAGGTAAAATGTTACCCCAACCATACGTGGAAATTCTTACTTCATATATCAGTAATAGACTATTCAGAATCAAGCAAGAAGGAGCTTACTCAGAGTTGAAGACAATCCAAGCGGGTGTGCCACAAGAGGGCCTGTCCTGTATTTACTTTTTACCAGTGATATACCCCAACCGAAAGAAGTTATAATAGAAACATATGCGGATGACATATGATTAATGACAACTGACACAAATCGAGTAACAGCCGCTCAGAAACTACAGAAAGCGAGCGACGCTGTTTATAAATGGACCACCAAGTGGAAAATTAAACTTAACGAAACTAAATGGAACCTGCGTCCCATATGCAAATACTGGTAAAAAAGTTGAAAATAAAAATTGCGCAATATAGATGGCTGATTGGCAGGCATTCCAAGATGACTTTGTATAACAAACTTTTAATTTATAAACAAATTATTAAACCTACATGGCTCTACGGTATTCAGCTATGGGGATGCACAAAAAGCACACACATAGAAACAATTCACACGGACATTCAAACGGTCCAAAATAAGGCATTACGTGAAATAGCCAATGCCCCATGGTTCGTCAGAAATCATGATCTTCACAGAGGCACTGGAATCCTGACTGTTGAACAGGAAATCAAACGGTATGCAAATAAACACCAAGCTAGACTACAGCTACATCCGAACGCAGAAGCCCGCCAGCTGCTAGATGATCAGAATTTATACCGCAGATTGAAGAGAACTAAGCCCTTTGAATTGATATAGTGTTTTAAGGGCAGAGCATGGTATGCGTGTAAATATTGTCAATTTTCTGTGAGGCTAGAACTTGGAAAGTCAATGGACTGACTTAGTTAACTACCCTAATTTTAAGATTACAGATAAAAACTGATGGTTGGTCATGCTTCACTAGTTTTAGTAAATAATATTAATAAATAAAAAAAATCTCCTAACTTAATTTGTTTCAAACTTCTCTAGATTCTAAAGTTATGTATTGTCATAGAACAGCAACTCTAGAACGATTGAGTAACCATTACCAGGAAGTACATTTGCCACTGATCGATTTTTCCAAAATTAATAATAAATTTAAATGTTTTTTGATCATGAAACAATCAATCGCTTTATACCCGTTTAGATCAACCATATGTCAATACCATATGCAAAATGGACGAAATCAGTAAATCTAATTTATTGCTTGCCAAGAAGTATAATGTGTGTATTTCGGAGCTGTGAAGACAAACTTGCAAAATTTATCGTTCTGAAACATGAAACAAGTTCTACCGAACATTAAACTTTATGATGGTCGTCATCCACATTATAGTAGTTTGGAAAAGCCATAAACTCATAACCCAGTTTACGCCCCATGGAATGTGGGTTGATTTTTTTGCTCTAAATTCCATGGAAAATCTAAATATTCAACGAGATTAAGAAATTCTAGAAGCAGTCGCAAAGGAGATTTAAAGCCGATGTGACTTTGTAAAGTACACTTTACTGTTACTTTAATTGCGTTTGCTAGTGGCACTTAGATTATGCGGCCAAAAAACATGCGATAAATTACTAGGGTATGTTCACTTGGATCTTCTGCAGCCATAGATAATTTAATTCATAAGTAATTTATTATAAATGTGACTCAGCCTCTATTTGCCGCTGCCAAGTGCTAAACCTATTTTACTGTCTAATTATAATGACGGGAAATTAGTTTCCATCATATAATCTTTTTGCTTCATTCTAATTGGACTCACGTTGGACATGGAACAAACATTGCGGCATTTATTTGGCAACTCAGACAGCACTTTTACTGTTTGAAATCAATCGGCTACATTACATGGAAATGACGAAAAATTAGCGTTTGGTGTCAGTTGACTGTGATATAAAACAGCTTAAAACGAAAGTAGTAAGATCAAATTCATATTTTAAAAATTGTCCGAATTTCATTTGCATAAAGTGAAAAACAGAATTTTTTAAACAGCATTTATTACAAAAGCTGTTACAACACAGGGGCGGATCCAGCTTTCAAGTCAAGAAAAATTCGATTCAGTCATAATATGACTCAAGTTAATACTTAAGAGAGGAAATTCGAGGAGTTTTGACCTAGAAAGCGAAATTTGAATATTTCATATTTTCCGTCCCTTCTTTGCTCGTTTCTCGGATGCAAAATGAGCAAGAACACTCATTTTTACATCATTCCAGAGAGAACTGAATGGTCCTTTTAGAAAGTGAACCATCGATAGAGAAACGTTGGCCCTTTTCTCACGAAGTCTTGATTTCAAAATCGACACAAACATGACGCTGCTTTGCCATCGTTGGATAGAGAATTGAAAATCCGATTGAGTCATAACAACATGAGAGGAAATTCAAGTAGTTTTGAAGGAGAAAGCCAAATTTGAATATCATACATTGAGCAGAGGCGGATTCAAATTTCAAGTCAGGGTAGAAATTCAGTCTTTTGTTGCTTACGAAATTTGAAAAAATATCGTTAGTCGACATAAACCGACAAAAACTTATTGGGTTTTTGGGGAGAACTTCAATTAATTATTAAATGACGATTCCAATTTGACTTAGTCGGTTAGACTGTGCCAGATTATCGATTATACTCCTCAGAACTATAAATAATTTCGAAAAAGTTTTGTTTTACTTTAATGGCTGAAGTTATAAAAAACAAGCTACATAATGTATGCAAAAGTACCAAACTTAATTAACTTATGTAAGTCATAGTCTAACAATAGAAATATTTTGGGGAAACAAAATGCGTTCTGTTCAAAACACTTTGACCTAGTTTGCCTTCCTCAACTTTTAAATACATATACATTTTGCCTATAAAATCTTAAATCGGTTTGATAGTCGCTTTAAAATGGGATTTAAAATACATAAATTAATGAAGCAATTGACTTCTATGCCAGAAACTAAGCCATTTGTTTCGTTTCATTTTTTTGATGGATTTTGCGAAAATATGTGTTTAAAAATAAAACTGACATTGAAAAATGTATTATTTATAATGCTGACCTTTCTGTTTGAACGCTTTGGAATAGTAAAAATCATAATTATTGAAATAAAATACAAATATGTCTCATAGAGAATGAAAACTTTATATGAAATATTTGCAAAACTTGTAGCAAATTAAAAGCAGATAATTTAAAAGTGACATATGTAAAGCAAATTGAGCTAGAAAATGTGTCCATAAGAATAGGAAACCTTATAAATACTATATTCTTAATTCAAATTGTGAATAAAATCCATATAAATATACTTAAATTTCTAGACCAAACAGTAAAAAAACTCGAATAATATTCTTGAACAATCAAGTAGGAAAAGTTGTCGCTGTAAGACAGTACGAGAAAAAGATATGATCAGTTCGTATGGGTAGAATTCATCAGAAAACGGGACAATATATGAAAAACGCTTCGTTTTTCAAATATCCATTTCAAATATCTAAATTATAACAAAATACATTCTAAAAATGCATGCGTTCTAAATGAATATATTGTAACAACTCCATTTTAACTAACGTGAATATTTTTTTAGAATGTTTTAATCAACTAATTTTTTGTGAAAACAAGGCGAAAAAAATAAAAATTTGCTGGGTTTCTGTGCAACAAAAAATATGACTTCCATTTACATATTTTTAATTAAAATATTTAGAATTTTATTAGATTAATTTAGAATACGGAACAACTCATTCACTAACTTAAAGCGGCAAACATTTTTAAACGTTTTTTTATAAAATTAGAAACTTACCCGCTCCAGGAAATTTCGGATTGCGGCTTTTAGTACTTAGCACTGGCACTTTTATATGACCCTACTTAATTCGAATCGTGTATAAACAATGTTTGGTGCACGCCTGAAAACATAATGGAAGGAAAGCAACGGAAAAAACATAAATTTAAGTATCTGGCAAGGATTTTGAAACGAGTTTTTGGCAAGTGACCAATCACCTGGCTCATACTTGCGTGTCGACGACGAATGCAAACCATTCTTTAGTCTGGGAAATCAATGTTTGCATTTTAGTAGTTGTGTTTATAATGTCATGTTTGCTTCACATCCACTTATTAAATAAATTAGCAGATGCTAAATACTTTTAACAAATTTCAACGAAAACTTATACTTTCCGCAATATTTTTACAAACATTCAAAAATACCTGAAAAATGTTGGTTTTTGAAACAAAAAATAAAGAGTAATTGTTTTAGAAGAAACAAACGATCCCACATTAGTGTTATCCTTCTACGATGAACTCTCTCACGCTGCGTTGAAATCACTTACATAAACCACGCCTAACTCAGGTTTTCGTCGATCGACCAGACTATTTTCTGCGTTCTCATTCGCAAGTGTGATTATTTTCAATTGCTGGCTGCACTGTTATTTTTGGTAATTATTAAAGATGAAAGGATACTATTAATGGATACTATTAATCAACAGTCCTAATAACTGTTTGACGTATCGTTCAATTTATAAAGACAACCGTATCCTCTAATGCTACATTGCAAGCGAATATGAACAGTAGTTATTTGCCTCGGTAAATTTTTTTCTTGGCACCGAATTAGCAAAAACAAATTCAAAGTAGGTACATATTCGAATCTGGAAAATTTGTAATTGATTTTTTTTTGGAATGGCTTACTGCAACGGTTGTTGGGTAGTCCGAGTGTATTTTTGAAATAAATACGTCAATCAGGGTGATGACTGTGAACAGACAATTATCAGATCAACGTCCTGAATATGCTGAAATGTGTACGTTTACTGTACATTTTCCGCGTTAAGTTTGCAAGGAAATCTGGATTAAAAAATTGGGAAAGTGAAATTTAAAATATTTCCCGAAAAGTATACAGGGTGGCCATTTTCTGAACCTTTGTATGGGTAACTTCTACATTTTTGAAGATAGAGAATCATAGGGCAACATTGGGCAGAATTCAATTGCCTATTCATTACCGTTTTCAAAATTTAGGTACCCGACTTGGTTCCTGAAATATCCTGAAAAGGTAAGAAATCAACACGTTTTTAATTATCATATAATTCGTAAACTGCTTAAATTAGAAAAAAAATTAAATTTCCTTTGGTAGAACTGTTTGCGTTGAATTCAATAAACTAGCACTCGTTGTCATAGTCAACTTGATTTACGAGATAAAAAATAAACTTATGGTTTTTTAATGGTAATAATAGTTGGCTGTGGGCGTTTTAAAATCCTTATTTTTTTCTGAATTTAACGATATAACTGTTTGTATATTTTTCTCCTTTTGTTGCCGTAAAACTTCAAAAGAATATAAAAAAGTGTGTAGTAGACTATGGAAACAAGAACTATATTATCACACAAAGCACAAAAAAATGAAATAATTAACATACACAATCATGTTAACTGGGCTAATGAAAATCATCATCTAATTGAAAATAGGCGAGATCAACGTGTTTTTTTTTGTGAATGTCTGGTGAGGCATTTTTAGTGATAAAATAATTATTGGTCCATTCTTTTATAATCACAATTTAAATATGGAAAGATATTTACACTTTGTACCAAATGAACTTGAAGACATGTTGAAAAGTTTTCCGTAAGCATCGTTTCGAAAATTGGCATATTTTCAACATCATAGTGCACCTTCACACAACTCACGAGTTGAATGTGAAGATGCCAAAAAATACCTGGAGGTAAACGGAAGTCAATTTGAACATTTAATTTAAACGATTCATTATTGTTTTGTGCTTTGTGGGATAATATAGTTCTTGTTTCCATAGCGTACTACACATTTTTTATCTTCTTTTGAAGTTTTACGGCAACAAAAGGAGAAAAACATACAAACAATTATATCGTTAAATTCAGAAAAAAAGAACGATTTTAAAAGGCCCGCAGCCAACTATGATTACCATTTAAAAAACCATAAGTTTATTTTTTATCTCGTAAATCAAGTTGACGATGATAACAAGTGCTAGTTTATTGGATTCATCGCAAAAGGTTGTACTAAGGGCAGTTTTAACTTTTTTTCTAAGTTAAGCAGTTTACGTAATAAGTGAAAATTAAAAAGTGTAGATTTCTTGTCTTTCCACAATATTTCAGGTACCTAAATTTTGAAAACGGTAATAAATAGGCAATCGAATTTTGCCCAATTTTGCCCATTTAACGGATTCTCTATCTTTAAAAATGTAGAAATTCCCCATACAAATATTCAGAAAATGGCCAGCCTGTATATTATATATGTCAGAAAAATATGCAAAATACCAAGCATATTTAGAGTGGCAAACTAACGGATTCGCTGCTGGACTGCAACATCACCGGCTAACGAAAAAGGAACGCACGAAGACTGGTAGATGAGCTATTGGTGGACGGCAATTTCGAGAAATATATTTAAAAATGCTTCCGTTTATCCATCGAACATGGAACAGAAAAAAAAGAAAGAAGAAAAATAAATAAACTATATTAAAAATACTCTATCGTCGTTTATTTATTTACTTTGACTTCAAACTTCATCTGAGCTACAAAAATGCACTAAGGTAGCCTGTGAACGAATATCTAAGCTTCAAAGAAGCAAAATTGATGATGTAAAGGTTTATTACAGTTGAGTTCTACTAGAGGAAATAAATTCTCATTTTTTGGAACGATTTGAATAAAATTGTTTGCGGCTCAAACATTTTTATTCAGCGATTCCCGTTTGGTTTAAAATACCAAAGAACAGGTTCGTCTAAACATAAATAACAAATCTCCTTGATGACTATTAGATGAAAATGATAATGCGAACAATAAAATAACAATTGTGAACTAATCAATCACTGGAATTGGGTGGGTAAGTTTACAGCTAATATAAGGGCTGTTACGGAACTCGACCAAACCGATTTATGGAAGAATGGTGCATCCCACGTCAAGGGTTAAGAAAACAAATATTGCGTTTTACCACCGCTTGACCGGCTAGTTATTAAGGTTAATAATGTATCAAGTTCTGAATACTCTGATAGTGATGAAAAGGCAATTGTCAATTTAAAAAAAATTGTCGCTTGACTTGTTGTGGGCATCCGTAATTAAAAAAATGAGCGCAATATGTTCCGATCAGTTAAATAAATTGAATTCGTTATAATCATATGGTACAATTTAAATAACTTATTATATTTGTAAAATATTTATTTTAGAGCATATCTCAAAATTAATATTCTTATAGGTTTTAGCAGATTGTAGCGCTAATGCAATTGGAGATTACTGGCTTTTACAATATACAACTATTTCATTTAAAACTGATGAGTATTTCATTCTTTGGAACCATTCTGGTCGACTTTGGAGGGCTTCGATTTGGGCTTCGACTCTGCTTTGCCTTAAATTAAACACAAATTTTATATGATGATTAACCAATCCAAAGTGAAAATAATTTTTTTTATGAAATACTAATCTGAAGTTGTAAACACGATACTTACTACGATTAAATATCAGCCTTTCGAGCGTAATCATTGGCGATTCATACGAAAGTGACCAGAATGTGGCGACCATCATCGACACGATAAAATGTCCGCAATTGGTGTAGAACTGAAATAAAAAATATATTAATTACTTCTACTTATTTAAAATGTTTTATAAGTAGACATAAATACAAAAATCGATATTCAGGGTGATTTACGTAGACCGAAAAGTTCATGTTTTTTGAAATATCGAGAGAATGGTACGGTGTACGATGGATTGTATGGCACCCAGTATATTTTTTGAGAATGTCGTTTTAAATAGAGAAGATAACATAATGGCTTCACTTTAAATACTGTTTTTAAAAAGTGGTCTGATCTGTGAATTACATTCTAAATTAAAGAGCTCTTGTATTCTCAATAGAGATTTGTTTCATTTTCGCAAACAACATTGTTTACTTGGTTTTTATTCCTTTACAATTTAACTTAATACTACATTTTCTTCTAAACTTCGAAATCGACTTTTTGGTGGATGATATTTATACCCGTAAGTTTGGTTCTTCTTAAATCAGCAGCTTATCCATAGTAAGTATCTAAACTTTGACTTCATTGACCGCTTTTTTCTATGCACATTTTTTTTAAATGGCACCAACAAACTTTTTTGGCCCAGCTTAAAAATTTTGCTATAACTAAACAACAAGAAACCAACTAAGCAGGACGAAAAACCTTAGTAGGTGCCATTAAAAAGAACTGAATGTTTGTAGGCTGCATGTACTCATATGTTGCAAAATGGATATTCTTAGTGCCATCTGGGTGAGTTACCTTAGGCTTTCAGCTAATGACCTACCGAATTTTGGTTTTAATTTTAGAGCACATCTGCAATGGCACTTTTTCCTCAAGCAATTGTTATATATAAAATACACTATACAAATATAAAAAAACTGTAAGATATAAGTTAACAAAACTAGGGTGACTCAAACTGGGAATTGGACGGCTTATCCACCCATGCCAAAAAATTGCATATAAAATAAGAAAGTTATGTATAATTTTAGCACACCCTGTACAACTGGAACGCTAGATGTATCTTACATGGCTTCGGCACGACTGGTGGTTACCGGAAGGAAAATTTGAAATTTCTTAAACAACTGCAAGATGGAAAACTTCTAATGCACGGTCTACGTAAATCACCCGGTTTAGAGCAACGAAAACAAACTTACCAAATTCCAGTCTGTAAAGTCAATTCTAGTGCGAATACCAAGCGCATAATGGGCGATAACCATTCCATGGGTCAGATAGAGGCTGTAGGTTAATTTTCCACCAATTTGCATAAACGGACTAGATAAGAACCAGTTTACCACACCTAATATAAAACGGTTTGTTAAGACATTTATTTATTTCGACTTCAGTGCTTGTCTTTCTGTTGTTTTCTTTCATTTTTTTGTCTCAATTTACACATATTTTCAACTTTGTTTCGTTGCCCCTTTTTTTGTGTTGTTTTGCCATTTCTTTATACTTTTTAATACTTTGAATTTATTCTTATATCTGTATTTCGCAAGATTGTTTCTATCAACGCGTTAGTAATTGATCTTTGATTATTTAATGACTGAAAAAAATCTGTGCGTATTGAAGACGCAATATTAACAATCCAATTTTCCACTACCATGTAGTTTCAGTCTAAAAAATGTTATCTGGAAGTTAACAAAAATTCTATAGATTTTTACCTCCATATCCATTAACACAAGCATATGTAATCCATGCAAGGGAAATACACCACATCGGTCTGGTAAAGCTGTAGCATAAACTTCTAGCTACATATTCATTTTTTATCTGAATATCCTGTCGATAAAATATCACTGCCAACATGTTACCCAGAGCCAAGAACCATATGGTGAGGTTCACCATCTAAAACATAACTGATAAATTGGTGCCTAAAGGATTTTTTTTTCGAGATTTGTTTTTGATAGGTTGAATCGGTTTAATAAAAATTTCTTTCAAGGATTTAAAAAAATCAAAGTCGTTTACTTAACTACAAGGTTCCTTTTTGTTTCGGAAATTACATAGAAAAACTGTGTTTTGAGAAAAAATGGCAACATTTAAGATATAATAAATATAAGCTAAACTCCTTATTGGCAATGCAAAAACTGTACATTCTCATCTACAGTGGTTCAATCACGTTTTTCAAAGTTGCGCAAACTTCCACTTTTGAATGCCAAGTGAAAAGTGAAAAACCCAACATCGGCAAGAAAAAAATAAGAAATTTGGGGTTTTCTTGAGAGTCAAAAGTAAAGTGTAGCAACAAACAATGAAAAATGGATATGAAATAAAGAGAAAACCAATTTCTTTTTTCTGATCAATGTTCTTTTTGTTCTGGCAGATTTTCTGCTCCTGAATTTCTTTTATACTTTTAACTCTTCCTTCCTTCGTGTATTTCTTCTGATAGTCTTTTCTTTTGTCTGTTTCGCCCGATCTTTTAAGCTACATTCTCTTGCGTTTTAGATTCTTTATTCTTGCTCCGGGTTAATGTTTTCTTGTTCTTGTTTAGTAACTAAGTTTTATTGATTTTTGACCCGCTTCGGTTTTCCACCTCAACCGAAACTTACCCGATTGATGGTTACTTTTTTATTTTTGTGGTGCCTCATGTAGATACCCGTCATCACTCCAATAAAGTAACTGATGAGTTTTGAATGAAAGTCGTATTCTTGAAAATCACTAAAAAATTTACGTTTTCGTATTATCCGAATGGAAATTTAGACTTTTCGTTACATACACATCATAATCACGCCATTGTAGTTTGATGAAAATGGGTGTGACCAAACATATTAAATTAACGCCTGCTAAGGCGGCCATTGTTTTTGCAAACGATCGTCTGTAAATCAGCGATATGGGAATGAACACTAAAGGTGTGATGAGAAATAGTTGAAAATCGGCGCTCAGGTACCAAGTAGTCGGAATACACTAAAAATTGATGTATTAAATCATTGACGTAAATTAACTCGTACAGGTCAAAAGCAACTTACCAAAGATTCTCCGTAATGGAAATTGTAGTAATTTTGTATGTACAGAAAGTAGGTCCACCAGTATTTTTTACAAGGTCTTATTAAACCATCGTGGATACCAAAGGAGAAAAATGGCCCAGTTTGGAGATACTTGAAAAGAAATACAGAGCCCAGGAAACACATGGCGTTGGCAGGCGTTAGTCTAAAAAATTAATCATTAATCAAAGTGTGTTGAGCTTGACGATTCCACACCTCAAATATCTATGAATGATCATCATTGGAACAGAGCCTGCTTGCTTCGTGGCCGATTTTTTGCTGATTGACTGCTTGAAGTACAAATAGGCCATCAGAAAGCCAGATATGTAAAAGAAAGTGTCCACACAAATGTGCGCTGAGGCTATATATTGAGCATATCGTTGAGTTTGCCACTGAAAATAGTTATGTGAACTGTGGAGAATTAAAACGTTGAATGGAACTTACGTGGCTGCGAAACTCATAGTCAAGAGCTGGAGCCAAGAACATTGAAATGGCTCCATGTCCTGAAATAATCCACCACATGCTGATGAACTTCATGCCATGGAAGCAGAGCACTTGCTCGCCTGCTTTGCTGTATTTGGTCGACTTTAATAACTTTTTTCCATTGCTGTACATGGAGAAAGCCGTGTAAATTGCATGCGGAGGTTCTGAAAATATTTCAGCAAACTTAAAACAACTTGCAATGAAAACAAACTGAAACTTGTCTACTTTTTCCGGCGTATTCCAGGAATATATCGTAGGCCGTCTCCAATATGGTACATGTGAAAAGCAATGCAAACAACACCCTAAAAGTGAATTGCACTTGAAAATTTAATTTTAAATACACTTTTTTCTCAAAAGTCTTACAAAACAATAACGGCTCCAGCATCAAGTTTGGAATCGGTATCTTGGGTCGAACAATAGTTATCAACAAATAAAGGCAATCTGGTAATATTTGCCAGATCGGCAGCGCTACATTGGTCAGGAATACACGTAGCTAACAAATACACCTAAACCAAAATAGAACCGCATTAAACATAATAATATAAAACGGCATTAAACACTAAATACAAAGCGTGTTAAATTATTTATTCAGGTCAAAATGTACAAAGTTATCACGCTTATGGGCCTTGTAAGTTATGAAGTTGTTACTGTATTTCACTTTCTTTACTTAAATACTTACTAAGTTCTTCATTAGAATCGAACGTTTTTTAACGTGGAAAATCAAAATTTCGAAGTGTTTTTTCAGTTCGAACTACTTAAATAAACATTTATAAACTGTTTGAATCCAGAATAACGCTGATTTTGACGAGTTAAGGTCGCAATGATTATATATTTATTCCAAATCAAAATCAATTCCTGGGCTTCAGTCATTTATTGTCTATTTATCAATTAAAATACGTTTCGGTGTTTTCCACCATCATCAGTTTCTATGTGTAGCGTTGTTGATACTTTAAGCCTTGGCATATATTTGGATATATAGTCCAATCCAAATCGACCTTTGGTAATTTTTCTGAGATCAATTATCTGTTTTTGAACCAAAAGTTTCTTAGCGTGCATGAAAAGGGGCATTGAGTCCAGATTATGAGAAATATTGAGAGTTAAAGATCAGCTAAGCCAAAGTTTGATTGGTTGTTTTCGGCCCAAGACAATTTCCGATATTTAACGAAAAAATTTCTAAATAGGTGTAAATGAACGACAAAATTTAAATCAAACACTAATATTTTGTCGATAGAACTAGTTAAAACTATTTTTTTTTAATGGCGGTTTAATTCTGTCTCTTTCCAAATATTAGGAAATAAATTTCCATCTTTTTTAAGTTAGGAGCGAAAAATGTGTATATGTATTTAAGGAATTAAGGATGTTTAAAAGATAGCCCTTTAGATAAAAGATTTTTCTAAATAATGTTTTTAATTTGTTCGTTTTTCGATCACATTTTGAATAGAGGAAATTTGACCATTAAGGAGCAACTTGTTATAAGCAAGTTTTATAAATTTCGACAAATTGAAGAAAATAAATATTGAACCCTTAAAAAATTTACTTCATCATTGGTATTATACATGTGGACTTTTACTAACATTTTTTCTCTGATTTATGAGATTTATTTTGCTCATTTCAATCTATGCCTTTAGTGCCCTTAATAATATTAATGTAATGCCCGTAGGCTTATACAAACTTCAATAAACTGAAGTCACTATCAATAAACTAACTAAATTTTACATTTTGAAACCGCACGAGCAAACATTGTTAAATTTGTGCATTAATCCATTGTTTTAAGCATTGTGTTATCAGCCTCCTCACATTTTTCACATTTTTTAAATTCTTCTTAGAAGTGTTTTTCAGGTGGAGATATGAAGTGGGTAAATCTGATAATTTGACGCTACTTGAAGATTAATTTGCTCATCTCATCAGGATCATAACAAGGCTTTTTCCAAAATGACTTTCACTAATTTTAAGCATTCACAAATTAATTCCTGTTTAAGCATGTTACATGTTTAATTTAAATCTCTTACTTGTGTGCCATTGGATATTGGAATAGCAAAACCCCATGAGCAATATTTACCCAAAATGCGCTCATTGTCAATTGTAGTGCTGATCTTAATACATTCGTCGTAATTTCCGGCGTCCGATTTGGACGCGTAATATGAAGCGCCGGAATATGGGAATTTACTCCAGGCATCGGCCACTAAAACATATTTCATGAAATGTGCAAATCCACATAGATGATTGAATGCAGACTTCGTTTCAAAGTCATTTGGTCACTATTCAATAGAGCGGAAATCTGGTTGATACAGCCTGTGGACTCATTTGTGACAAGTGTAGAGTTCACTCGCGCTACAATGTCTTTAAAATCCAAACCGCTCTGTACAATTTTTTCCATAGCAAACGCATCTTCACTATTCACCAAACCAAAAACCACACATAAAATTCCTACGTATATACTAAACAATGCTGTCATGTTGGCTAACGTGCCGTGAATGCGCTTTTTAACAACCCGATTATTAATGAGAATTGACAAAATTTTAATTCAGTTGTTCGGAGGAAGAATTTCTGCAATCAGTTTATCTTAAGATTAATATACTTACCCTCTTATGCTTTCATTATCTCGCTGCTATGATTGTCTTGTTATCTATTTGATTACCTCAGGGACTTGTCGAATTGCAGCCACCTGGACGAACGACCTTTGATATTGATTAAACTCATGTTATTGATATTGCTGAGTAATGAGGTATTTTCGGGTTTCTTTGTAATTGTTTTGTCCGAACTGTAGAGTGGCGATTTTTAAGATGGTGCGTTTTAATGCTTTTCAAATTGCTGGCAGGTGGCCGATCGGGCTGTTAGTTTGAATAATTTACATTTAATCTCTCTATATAGACCATGACCATGAAGAAAATAAAACTTTAGACACCGAGAACTGTTGGAAAAGTCTTTTCAATCCTTTGGTAGTTTACATTTGAAATTGTCAATTAGCTTCTCATCCTATTTCGAATGATTACCAGCTGCTACTAAATCATTTATATAGCGGCCTAACATAAACAAATTGGTCGAAGGCGATAGAAACTGGCCCAATCGGTTCCCTGGTACTTTTAGTAGATCTTCATCTGATAGTTCTGGCTCGTCAACGGCAGGAATCAGGTCCTGAGCCACCAAATCGTAGCCACTCATGTACAGCAATATTATCCTGATATCTGCATAAAAACAGAGTGTTGCGAACCTCGTAACCTGCAACGCACGTAAAAATAGCAATATTTTCATCCCCTGCTTTACTTTATAAAATAGGAGTCTCGACGTTTGAGTCTATTGAAGATTTGAACCCTTTTATTACTATGAGCGACTGTAGCCCTCTATCAGCGTTGCCAACATTTCTTGTTTTCTCGTAATATATTCTATAAAATTCTCGCAACAGAATACTTATTTTTGCAATAGATTTTTCTTTGAGTGTTTAACTAGTAATAGGGACATGAATTAAATGCTGACAAAGTGGCAGCTGTAAAACTAGAATGTAATGTAGAGAACAATCGGCAAAATTCAAAAGCACATTGAAAACTTCTCAAAAATTGCCTCGATGGCTCAAAATGTGTGGAACGCTCTTTCGCCCTACAAAACGCACGCGAAAGTGAGTCTGCAGCTTCATCGGTTTACAAAAAAATAAATGCCAACCAAACTTAGGCCTGATTAAACAATGACAAAATTCTGTGGCAACTTAAAATAAAAAAAATAGCCTGATGATGATTTAAAACCGAAACCTTTTGCCATTTATAAAATGCCCTAAAAAGTGCATACAAGATTCAATTACAAACTTACCTGTTTTCATTTACATAAACAAGCACAAAATACTAACAAATTTAAAAAAAATGTCTGAACATTTCCTGAGGTCGAGTCAAAATCGAAAGGTTTCGTGAGTGAGTCTGCAACTATTCGAAATGTTGAGACAGTTTCAAAACAACTTCAAAGATCAAAAGCACATTGAAAAACTTTTTAAAAATTACCTGATGATGCCTCAAAATCGAAACCATTCACAATTCTCATAATATACAATTCAATAGATTTCAAGTAAATCTGCAGCTTCACTGGTTTTGCTGAGAACATAAATGTCAAACGCAGGCCTGCATAAACAGCCCTAAAAGATTATCGCAATGTTTCAAATTCGGAACTTTTGCCACTTATAACAAATACTACTCAATAAAACATCACTCTTAATTAGTTTAACTGCTTTCTGACGAAAAATCAAACCACGGCCTGTATAAACGCAAAAGCAAGCGCGAAATACAAAGAAATTTTGAAAAAATTGCCGAAAATTCCTAGAAGATGATTCAAAATCAACACGATGGTTAAAAACCAAATTCCTGAACAAAACCATTTTAAACTTCGATCTGGTAAAATATCCACCAAAACTAAGGCTACCAGACATAGTTTTTGGAAATACATGAAGACAAGCGAAAGTTTTGTGCAGAAACGGAGAGATTTACGTCCCACAAGGTGTTTAAGCACAAGGCTAAACCTGAAATCCCAAGAGCGTCCTCTTCCTGTGGTTGAGTAGGTAGTAAATTGAACCATTCTTTCAAGTATAAATTACTTTTAATAACACGATTGTTTATTACAATAAAACTATTTTTAGAGGAATTACATTTAAAACAAAAACAATTATAAAGCTTAACTAGCTACGGTCTATGAACTTAAATAGTTAAAATTAATTTCGTAAAATAAAAATGTAGTTAATAATTACAAATTTATTGCATCTAAAATTATGAATAAGTCAAAGCCACGACGTTATTTATGGCGGACACATCAAAATATCGCATATTTTAATCAATGTTTATTAACGTTGTAATCTCAAGTTAAGTCATTGCGAATTAATACGGCTTTTTTAGCTTCCGAATAATCGCTGTAAGTAATCCAAAAGTGAATTAGGATAGCTTATGCCGTGTTAATCTAACTACAAAGTTCCTTTGGAGTTCCAGGATATTTTAAATCGATTGAATAATCTATTCGGACAGTATTCCGCTTTCCAACTTCAAATTCGTTGTGTCCGCTTTTCGCTATTAAGATGTAAAACACTTACTAACGGAAATCAGAGGCTGCACACACACAGCACAGGAACTAATTTACTGGCAAAAATTACATAATTATTTTCTTATTTAGTCTCATCATAATGATATCACAATCTTTATATTGCAATAATTAAAAATTATGGCTAGATATGCTTCCACCGATCGGGTACAAATTTCGAGAAGCTCTCTAAGTTATAATTACAAGATTAAATTAATGGCAATACTGATATGAATTTACAGAATGCAGCAGATATAAAGAACGAAGAAAAAAAGTATGAAGAACAAAGGTATTCAAAAGGAAAATCTTGCAACTGTCACTTGAGAACTTTAAAAAAATCGAAGTCAAAGCTTACACTTTATTCTAGTAAGCCAACATTGACTAGAGGATTTAGTCTTAACTAATACTCTCACATCTGCAAAACTTTGATATTTGTTTTGTAAGTTTTTATATAATTTTTCTTAGAAAGTAAGTGAAACTTGTGCGGCGGTCGCTTTTAGAGCCAATTTTCGCGCTATACTCATCATTTTGTATTAGTTAATTAACTTTGCCGTGTTATGCCTATACATTTACGATATCTAAGGCTTTATTTTTTTCAGGCTCATCATCATTAAATAAGTCACTGATTACTAGTAATAATAATTCATCATTTATAAGTTTCGTTCTGTACTAGATTTTTTATTATGTTATTGGTAATCTGGTAATTCCATAATCAGTTAAAAAAAGTTCCTCAAAATTTTAACACAGTAGTATTATAAAGGTTTTTCTAAAGAGCAACTTCATTATGATATTACATGTAGATTATCTTCCCGATTTTATTACTTAACTTTATCAGTTGCGTAAAAAAATTGGACAACTAGTTTTTATTAAGCCAACGCAAATTTAAAAAATTGAGTGAATCAATAAAACATGACAACTAGTTTCAAATGTATCAGATATAAAGTTAAAATGTGCGGAAGACTAAAGAAATTATCTATTTCAACTGCATCAAGTGGAAGCCCATAAAAAATGCTTGCGCAACTTCAAAAGTAATTTATATTAATGAACTGAGCGGATTTATCAATCATCGCAATTAGATGAAGAACCAACGTTCATGCAAAATCGCATTGCTGACTATTAGAGTAATTAATTAATGAATTTCAGAGAAAGCAATTATGATTAATGCTTAACAAGTTGTACTTTTGGTCTTCGCTTAAACAGCAACATCAGTGAGATTTCGCGTTTTATTTGAAATCTAGCGAAACGCGTTTTCAGTCCGATTTCATTCAATATGTTGTGGACACTTTAGTTTTTGAGGCTCATGTTTACCAATTCGAAACCCGTTGCTTTCCATCATTCCCTGATTGATTAATTTAATTAATTAACATCGATAATTTAATTTTTCTTTTTTTTTTTCGTTTTTCCACACGTCATTTATAAATGTGCGCATAAACTTCGACAAAAACAGGAAAAGTGGAAATGTAGGAAGACAATATTTAATTCTTTTTCTACCCAATCATTAAGCCTTGATACAAAATAAAGCCTTATAATATTTTCTATCATTGAGTTAATCAGTGAGTGGATCAGGGGTGGGTTAAATATATTTTTTTTGTAAATGCGTATCGGTGCATTTTAACCGTAAAACTTACCGTTTCCGTTGCAGGAATATACATATAAATTTTTTCCAACATAAAAATTAACTAATGGCTTACTTAACGATTTAGAAAGTATTCAGAATATTATGCTATCTTAAAAATTTAAACCTAATTGGGGAAAAATCGAATAATATTTTCACAAGACTCTACTTTGCGGATTTAGATAAACATCTTGTGGGTCACGATACGCATTATCCACCATTATTACGACACTAAACAGTATTAAATTAACTAATCCTAAGTGTTTTTACAATATCTAATATACAATGCTTAACAGGAGAGATGACATCAAACAGCAAACGAAAAAATGCATTAATGTATAATGGTGTATATTTAGCTACAACAATTAGGAATTCCTATCCATCAAACCACATAATTGATTTTATTAAAAAATGTGTCCAATTCGGTCTAAACGTGTGACGATGCGGTTTAGAAATTTTGCAGCCTCCAATATACATACTCTAATCTAGCTAGGTTACTTATATAAAACATGAATCTTATGAATATTGAGCTATTTGAAGCAGCAAACGTTTCCGATTATCAATTATAAATTGTCAAGAAACTACTGAGAACCAATCTGAGGTAATTTGCTGTTTCAAACTGAGCAATTGATATCAATATTGAATTTCAACAGTATAGGCTAACTCTTCTAAGAAGGCGATACATTTATTTACAACAAGCTTAAAAGTAAATTAAAAATACAGACTGGTTCACTAAAACTGAACCTCATAAATAGGCCACATATTTCTGCACAAAATTTAATATTCTAACATTAGTTTATTATTGTCTTTCCAAAGTTTAATTAATTGTATACTTTAGGCATGGTACTGTAAGGTAGGGTAAGGTTTTATTATCATGTGATTACTAATAGTTTCGGCTATGAAAAGCTGGTTTTAACAAACTATACGTTTTAACAACAAGACATTGATTGCAACACTTTGCCGGGTTTGAATTAATTTATGGCCTATCAGCAGCAACGCCTAGAATGTAGAAAACGTTTTAAATTCGACGGACATTTTGTAATTAAACAGACAATAGACACAATAATCTAACTTGAACTTTTACAAGTGAAAAATTTGATAATAAATTACTAGGTGAGGTATAATTGGAATCAACTGGCCTCCGAAGCATTCGATATTCTCATATTAACATTATTTATTCTATGTGAAGAAAGGCAACTGTTAAAATTATAAGCATTGCACATCACAAACATTTATGTACGGTTCAGTATTAAGACGTTTTTTCCAAATACTTGTTACTGGAAAATGTAACTTTTGCAACTTATTTGGTTTTCAAATTTTGTTTTTAATTGAAATCACTTTGATGCATATTTTCGTTGGTGCTTGTCTTATAACATCTGTATGTTGATTTGTTTTTTGTTTACGATTTTTGGGAAAAGTCTATAAACGAACTTGTAACTGCTTGAATGCAGTATTTTTTAATTATTTAAATCAAAAGATGTAAAAACTAATGATGTGTTGGGAGGTGGAATTGACAAGTGACAATTCAAAAGAAAATAAGAAAATTGACATATAAATATTGAAAATATAAAAAAATAGACGAAACTAGATAAGACGTTTTAAAAATATTTGCCTAATTTTCCACGTACTACTATCTGTGTTTTTCAAATTTCTTCTACCGTATTCTTGTGGCAAAAAAATAAAAAATTTTGCTTTTCTGCTAAAATTTTACTAGAATTTACTTAATAAGCAGGAGGAACGGGATAATCAATGAGCAGAAAGAGTAGACTATCAATGTGTGAATTTTGGTAATTTTGCTGTTACAAATAAGGACTATTTTACAACTTCGTTCAAATGATTTGCTTATATTAAGAAAGTTTGTTCATATTAAGAGTTCCTCCTGAACGACAGTACTAAACATGAGAGTTTCCAGACGGTTCTAAAGCAATAGCAGGAAATGTGCAACTATAAAAGTATTTATTTTACACAAACTAAATAGGGATTTTTGCAAAGTATATGTAAAACTCTTGATGGTGCATAGGCGCATTTTTCTTATTAGTTGAATGGAAAAGGTTACGCGGGTTAGATGACATTTCTCTGGTAACAAAGCTCGAAAATTAGCCAGTTTTTGATAAAATTGCAAAAGTGGCCCACCATTTTTTAATGAATGCAATTGAAAAAATAGCGATGGATTACAAATTGTTTTATGAAGCTTTAAAGGCTGTTGTATGAACTTGATGATGTGTTGTTGTTGTCGATAAAAATCGACGGTTTTCTATCTTGAACCTTCTTCAAATTTTCCAAAATACGCTTTACCTTCTAGTTAACAGTATTTTATTAATCGTTGGTTTTTTATACATATTTGTTTACTTACACAAGATATTAAAAATCATCAACATTGAAGCTGCTATAAAAAAATTATAGTTTTTACAGCTTAAGCTTATATATATGATAAATCTTCACCGATTTACTCAGTAAACTAATTAAAACCTGAAAAGACTTAAAGAATGTGTTTTTACATAGAAAATTCTGTTGTTGTCTAGGAACTAAAGTTACAGCATTTATGCCAGACGATGTTCCTGTCTGATGCAATTTGGCTATTAGTTTAATTCTAAATAGTTAAAAATCGTTGTTTGTTTCTCCCAATTCTAAATACAACATTTACAAGCAGTGTACTCGACGATTAACGCGTATTGTAGCATTAAGTCTATTGACTTGAAATTGAAATGCAAAACCGCATATTGGCCATCATTTATTTATTAAGGTTACCTATAATACTCATTTCAGCCTTTTTTCCCTAACAACCGTCAAAATTGACCAAGAAGAGATTCCAGTCATTTCGAATCGTATCCTGCTACAAAACACCCAACAGCGCTTTTCCCCGGGCTCTTCGCGGACAAGCTTCAGCCGCCTGGTGGTGGCATCTGATCAAACTGCCAGTATTTTTTGTCACTTCCCAAGCGTCCATTACCGAACATCTCAGACTTGCTACCTTTCTTCCAAAGTCCGAAAGGGGCCGGAGCCGTAGCTGACTTACGCGCAAACATAGATTTACCGGCACTATTATCAATAACATGTCTAGATAAGGGCGTCGCACTCGAAGGGACTTGAAGTGTTGCAGAAACGATATTGTTAGAAGTGTCTCTAGGTCGACGAACAATGCTCGAAGAAGCAGCTTGGCCGGAAGCGATACGTACCGAAACAGTCGTCGAACTAAGCGGTTCATTGGAGGCAACCACTCCATCGTAGCCCATCGCTGCAAAGTTGCCGCAATGGTAATTAACATTGCAGCATAGTTGCCCGTCCTGTGAACATTAAAGAACATTGTTAACTTGCTAAATAACAGCTTGGAGGTGCATGTGCATCAAGACTTGCAAACGTTTGGGTTTCCAGAACGACTCGTATTTGCTCAGCAAGCACTGTGTGAACCAAATCAGAATTCTATTGCAGTTATTCGATTTCAAACAGTTTTACATTCCACACTTCAACCTAGGCTTAGGCCTGGGTAACACACTGGGTGTTGAGTTGCGCTATTGAGTTGTTGCCGCTCTCTGAGTTAACGAGTTAACTCATCGGTTAGTGGGTTATAAGTCAATTATTAAAGCTTTACGAAACCCGAGACTGGGATTTGCACATTAAAAGAAAATATCATCAACATTTTAACCCAGCAACAGAAGTTAGTCGAAAGAAAATCGACGAGTTTTCTTGTACAATCGATTTTTCTCATAGAACATTTAGCTTGCCAGTATTATACAGTAAAACGTTAGGAAAACGAGGTTTTTCTGTTTAGAAACAGGGTTGTTTAGAATTATTGACCCAAAAGTGAAGAAACCCCAGTTTTCAAGAGTTTTCCAAATAAATTATTATAAACTTTCGCTTTTTCAGTTCTGCGAAATATTTTCGGAAAAAGACCTAGAATTAATTATTAGGGTTTTGTCCATATTTCGAAGCTGCAAAAAGTTTTCCAAACATTTGAGCGGTTAAGGAGGCGAGTGTTCCAATAAAACCTCATTCTTATATTTTTTTACAGAAAATACTTGAAAATTGTCGGTATTTTAACAAAATAATAATGAAGTTTTTGGCTAGAAAGAATTGCTTAATAGCAACTTTGTTAAAACTAGAATGACCTGAAAATTTAAAGAAACTTTAAATATTTTCAGAGCGATGTGGCCGGTGAATTTTCCAAATAATTTTTTGTAAACTTTTGCTCCCTGGCTGTTTCTTCAAGATAATCTTAATTACTTTCGGTAAAAAACTGAATAAAATTATTTGGTTTTTGTCCCAAATTCGAAGCTGAAAAGGGTCTAGTTCCCTGCAAACCGATGAATGAGGCGAATTTTCTAGAAAAATTCATTTTGTTATTTTTGGCTGAAAAGACCCCATTATTGTCAGAAAAGAAGGAAATCATAAGAAAATAATGGTTTTTTTGCGTTTTCGATTATCCAATTTTAGTTTTGTGATCAGTTTTGGAGAAACCCTTAATGGTTTTCTGGGAAAAACGGGAGGAATTTATTTTCGTTTTGGTCTCGAATTCGACGCTGAAAAAGGTTTTTGAAAAATTTTTACAAAGCTATAAATTTATCAAGCTAAAAAAATATAAATTTTTCGCGTAAAAGACCTTCAGATCGTCAGTATTTTTAAGTGAAACTCTAAAAAATAGAGCGTTTTGAGTAGAAAGTAAAGCAAAAAAAATTAGTCAGACCTAAAAAACCACATTTTTCTAACAAACTCTGCAGTCTTCAGAGGAATTGAGCTGACGAGATTTCCAAATAATCTGTTATAAACATTCGCTTATTCTGTTCGTTTTTTAATAGAAAATGATTTGATTTTTGTTCCAAATTCGATACTGCAAAGGGATTTCAAAACTTTTTACAAAGCGACCAAGGATTCGAAATTGATTTCATAATTTTTCACGTTAAGTTTGGCAGCATTTTTAAGTGAAACTTTAGAAAATTGATCATATCTTACCAAAGTAACTTGACTAAAACTGGAAACTTCTGAATAATTTTTAAAAACATTATTAATAAATGGCCCTTAAAATAAATCTAAAAACAAGTGAAAAAAAGTCATCAACATTTTCCCAGCAACAGAACTGAGTTACTGCGCCGGTGCGTTGAACTATTTGCGTGGCACTGCGCCAACACCTAAAAATTTACTGAGTTACCCAGGCCTACCTGCACTCCTTTTAACCAGCGCACAGAACTATATATATATAATTTTGGTTCGTGAAACAATGGTTTTCATCGGGTTTTGCTAAGCACCTGGATATATTGGCGCCGCAAACCTTATTATATATTTACCTCAGGTTTATCCACGAAATTATGGAACTTTTATCAAAAATCTTCGTTCAAATGGTCAATGATTTAAATTTTCATTATCCCACAAAAAATTAGGTGTCTCCAAATGTGGACTGCCAAGGCACATCTACCCATATTGGCTAATGTATATTTCCGAGTCTTTTTGATTAATCGTCAACCTATTATTTAGTTCTTCTGTTTTGTTGTTTGCTAAGTTGATTGATGATTTTTAATCATTGAATATTAATTATTAGATATAATTTGGACATAAAACTTCTCTATGGCTTGCGTTATAAATTGCAACTGATCTGAAAATAATTTCCAGTTAAAACTAAGTCTTCTTAGTGAATACGGAGCGTGTCCGTGTAGCGTCAAACTTGAGAATATTCTTGCCTTCACTGGACCAAGTCATTCTGAAAACCCGAAATCCAGAAGGAAAGTGCTCAAAACTAGTGCTTCCATAAACTTGTAAAAATTAAAACAATCACTTCAGTCAACCAATGTATAACATTGAAAACTCTAAAGAACCATAAGGATTATTAACGGAACACATAAAACCTTGACTGGTTCTGAGGCGAATGTATATTTTTTCCAACAAATAACAATTGGACTGCTGAAACAAAGGATCCTTTACAAGTCTGCACCCTCAAACCAACTACACCTACGAAATAAAAGTTGCAAAAAGGCACCGATCTAATAAAACAGTGTCTACAACGGTCTAGGAAGCATGCAAATTATAAGTAGCAGTACACATCTATAGGAGTGCTGTCAATAATTTTCATTCAAAGTGTGATAAGAGATTTTGTGTGTGTTCGTGGGTCTTTTTAAACAAAGCTGCCTCGTGTTATATTCGCTTTGCTTCAAAGACTTGCGTGGAAAATTGAGCGATTTCACTAGAAACGTTAAACAATTATGTAGTATAGATAAACGAAAAAGCTTCATGAAAATGTTTTCAATGTTTAAGACTAGGAAATTTTCTAAACGTATTATAAAAAGTGACTAATAAAGACATCGTCTTAGGAGAATTTTGTAGCGCACCAAAAGCAACACCGAAGACTTCAACCAACTTTAAATATTCTCGTTTCCTTTATCCCCCGACCAAACCAGCTGTGGTGTTTTTGTATCCACTAAAACTAACAGTTGCGTTATCCTCTGAAGTGAGTATCAGCTCAATTTTCTTGTGTTTGAAAGTGGTAGTGTTAAATTTTGTAAAATTTATTAGGAGAATTTGGTTTCGTGCATGTTGGCCTTTGAGTAAAAAACTCCATAATTTTCAAAATATTTGCCCTTAATTGATACGCAGTTCGATTGTAGACGAACTGAAAGAACATCAAAATGCAAAAAACCAATTTCTCTGGCATACGCCAACGAAAAATACACGATCAAATTACGACTAGGTCAGGCATAGATAGGACAAAAAGAATGTAGAATAGAGATAAAAACCGATCAAAGGCGACGCTTGGAAGACGCCCATATTATTAGATCAGGCACTACTAGAGGTGTGTAATGTCTTAGTGTGTATTAGAGTGATGTGATTACCGATGCACACAACACGCGGTATTGCTCACCAATTCTGCGCAGAACGGCACCTGCAAGGGAACGTAGTGTTAATTGTTAGTTTGCTAGCCTAGCGATTAGTAGCAGGCCCGGTAGCTAGCAGCTGAGTCGGAATGAATGATGGATGGTATGATTCGAAACGTATGATATTTTTCTACATTTTGTCGGTTATTTTGCTCTCTTATCGAATACAGGGTGTTTCTTTTGATTCCCATGATGTGTTCCCATTTAAGAAGTCATTATTGATAGGCACTAAAAGCATGACTTTGTAATCAAACTTTTTCGGGTCGATTCTTTATGAAAGCCAAAACTTATCGAGAACGCATTGTAAACGTATGAGATTGACCTGCTTATTGCTACACAAATTAGGCCTGGATAACACTGTGTGGAGTAGCGCTTTTCAGGTGTTGCCCCCATCTCAGTTAATGAGTTTTAACTCATCGGTTAATGAGTTATAACTCTTTTGCCTATGTCAAAGACTGGAATTTTAACATCTAAGAAAAATGGCATTAGCACGTTACCAGTAACATTTTACCAGCAACGGAACTGAGTTACTGCGCAGGTGAGTTGGTGCACCAAGCTATTTGCGTTGCACTGCGCTAAAAAATGTCTAAAAATTCACTTAGTTACATTTTCTGTAGAAACGATTGCTTGAAAATATTTGGACTGAAACGCGAATAATCGTAAATTTTGAAGAAACTTAAGAATTCTACAGGGCGATGAGGGTGACGAGTTGGCGAGGAAGAAAACTTTATTTTTTTCAAAAAAAAAAAATAAGAGAAATTTGTTTCGGTTTGATCGATTGAAAGACGATTATGAAGACCAAACTATAAAAACAAGTTTTCTTGTAAAATCGACCTCTTAATGGTTTTGCATAAAAGTCCTCAGTTTGCCAGTATTTTATAGTAAAACGTTAGAAAAAAAAAACGTGTTTTTCTGCTTACAGTTTTGTTTAGAAATTTTGGCCTAAAAGTTTAGAAACCGGAATTTAAAAAAACTAAATTATTCACAGCCACGAAGGTAACGCGTTTTCCAAATAATTGAATATAAACTTTCGTTTATTCTCTTCGGGGAAGTCTTTTTGGGTTTTGTCCAAAATTCCAAGCTGCAAAAGATTCTAGAAATTTTTTTACAAAGCTGTTAAGAAGGCGAATGTTCCATTGAAATTTATTTTATAATTTTTCACAGAAAATACCTGAAGATTGTGAGTAAAACTAAAAAATAATTGCTTAAGAAAAACTTGAAACGACAGACCTGAAATTTTAAAGAAACTCTAAAAATCTTCAGAGCGATGAGGGTGGCGAATTTTCCAAATAATTTTACGTTCATAAACGCTCTCTGGTCGTTTTTTCAAGACAATCTTAATTTATTTCGGTAAAAAACTGAATAAAATTATTCGGTTTTTGTGCCAAATTCGAAGCTGAAAAGGGTTTTCTAAAATTCCTTGCAAAGCGATGAATTTTTGACTGAAAAAACCCCATGATTATCAGGAAACAAGAAAAGCATCAGAAAATAATGTTTTTTTTTGCGCTTTTCATTAAAAACTTTCAGATTTGTAATCGGGTTTTGGGAAAACCTTAATGATTTTCTTGGAAAACCGGCAGAAATT